TAACGTATATAAAAACATATACTGCGTGTTGAAAATATTCTCAAATAATATTCAATTGTGGTGGGCTGTTAGGGCCTCTTTTACTTTGTCAATATATAAATAGTATACGTTGGAAATTGGCAAATATAGTTACGTACAGAACTCGTAGAACGCTTTCCTTATATGAACGATGAAAATCTGAAACAGAGTGTCTTTTTTTATTTTGTGGATATAAATAACTTTCTAGTAACATTCACTATATTTACTTCCTTAGAGGGCCCAATTTCATTATTTATGTTAAAATGATATTACCCGAAAAATCGAGAGAATAGATAAGAACTGACACTTTATAGATATCTTTATTTTCGATTTACCAAATCCAAATAAATACTGTAGAAAACTAACTAGAAAATTATTTTATATGTTTTGACAGACCACGTAAATGATTCTTTATTATATTTGTTCTGAAGCCAGTTAAAAAAGTGCATTTTACAACACTAATAAATTTGTGTCTCATAATTTTACTAAAAGTTTGTATAGCAATCCTTTCCTATTTCTGTACGGTGTTTGATGGGTGAACTTGGTAGAGGTGAAGTGTGCACTAATGACATTTTGATTAATCGGAGGACTCTAATTATTTATTAAGTAACCGGCTACAAAAAAATGACTTCACGGCTACCGGAATCTGGCAAGGCAACTTGTAATTTTAACACTAAAGCACAGGTAGGTCAATTACCCGTCCATCTACCTGTCCTTCTCGGGACCCTTGAGAATCATGAGAATCTCCATTGGTACAATAGTGCGCTTATGGAATACGGCAAAGACCAAACCGAAGAATCTGGTAGCAATATGTAAATTTTTCTTGTGAACTTTTCAACACTTCAACTACAAGACGCAATTTTTTTCCTAGTTTTTATACATATTTAAATAGTTTACAAAATTTAAAAAAGTAGACAAACAAGATGGCTTTCGAAAAATCGTAGCTGGACGGGGCAATTTCGTATCGCGTAGCGTGAAGTAGCTTTACATTTTAGAAAGCAGCCGCTTCGCAGTTTCTTGTCCTAGACCACTATGGAACTTTCGCAAAATCGATGTAATGTAAAGTGTCTCTCACATCTCGTCGAACTTCAAAGTTACGGCAAACTTTGGTAAATACAAAAATTTCTATAAATATCAACGATTTCCATTGACATTTTCGCAAATATCTCGAGCACTCTGTATGATAGATGAAGCCTGAAACTCTCTCTCCACATAAGTTGTGACACTGTATATACCAAATTATCCCATGTTTTATAGTTTTTCATTCACCCATTTTTAATTTACCCACGAAAACGACAATTTTAAGAATCTTTTTTTTTTACCCAAAATCGACACACCCTGTACATAATCCAAAAAATGACCGTCCTAGAAGTTATAGCCCTGGACCTTCCCAGTTTCCTGGTATATGAATTTTTCCAATAGAGTAAATGGTTTTCGTCACGACGTCGACGTCATCGCGTCTAGATGAAGAGCGAGATACAGCGACTGTCACATGGATTTTTGCAAATATCTCAAGAAGCGTGTGCCATAGACGAAAACCGTAAATACAACAATTATATCTCTTCACGCAGGCTTCATTGCTGTTTAAACAAAATACAAATAATTTTCACCAATTTTGATTTACGGCTAATAATTTAATTTTGAAAGGAACAATTTTTAGAGTCTTTTAGATTTTTGTCCATAATTAAAAAAACCTGTATATAATCGAAAAAATGCTAATAATAATACTTCTAGTGCTGGATCTTCCGCATTTTCAGAATTTCGTGTGATTCAAGAATTTTGCGGATGGGGTGAACAGATTTAAAGAAAATAAATTTTGAAATATTTTAAAAAAGTATTTCTGGATATTTGATGGCACCCAGTTTCATCACTTTAAATGTAAGTGTGGACTTCTATGTCTCTGCCAAATCTGAAGTCGGTAACTGCAATATCGCGAACAATAGGTGAAAACCTTAACAAAATAAATAAGAACTAAAAGTTCAGATTTTCACGAAATTATATATTATGACATGACAATTGTTTCGACAACACCGTGTCTTTATCAAATGTCAATCACATCTGATAAAGACACGGTGTTCTCAATTGTCATGTCATAATATATAATTTCGTCAAAATCTGAACTTTTAGTTCTTATATATTTTGATAAATGGATTTTCATCAAATAAAAGCCACCTCAGTTCAATTTTTGAAAACCCTAAATACAAAGGTTTTTATGCGGGGTATATCGTCATGCAAAACAAACTGACATCCGAAATAAAATCTTTCAGGTATAGTCAATTTTCAATAATAGGGGACCCATTTTTCAGTTTTTTTTGTAATTTACAGCGAAATAAAAATACTTATTAACTCCGCAGCCCCCCCCCCCTTATTACAATAGGTTCTGTCACGGAACCAAGCTTAATATGTAGTCCATAGCTTCAAATTTCGGACACATATCGTGTTTCATAGCAATGTCCAAAAAACGGTAGAAAAACAAAAAAAAAGATGATTTGAGTTTTGAGATTTTCAAATATCTTATGCCCCTAATGGACTGTCAAAAAGGAACTAAATTTGAAGCGTCTAGCTCAAACCGTTCGGAAGTTATCGTTGAAAAATCCTGGAATACAGAACGGAGAACAGACCAAAAATTAAAAAAGTTTTTTTCGACGCTGTAGGACGCACCGTTATGGAGATCTGGAGTTTAGTGAGGATTGCGTATCCTTTGGAAAAAATCGTTTTTATCGACAATATTTCAGTTTAGACAGTATTTCAGTTTAGCAGTAGATTTTAATGTGTTTTGCTAAATTTGGGTGCGCACCCGATTATAATTTTTTGAAAATTCATCTACATTAACCAAGGTAAAGCTTTAAACAAAGAGTTGTAGGTATTCAACTAATTCAAAAAAGAATAATTAAAAACATTAGATAAAGTATACGGTCGACTTGCTTCATTTGCGAATAAAACAAACGCACAATAAAACAAATAGTTGGGAACGTTTTTACAAAAGCAAAAAATAGTTGGAAATGACCAAATAACATTCGTGGATAGAAAATGAATCAAACTGAACGCCGATATTTATTAAACAATTCGAGATAACGATGTATGACTTCCTCTATCAACCTGACATCAAACCGTCAAATTTAAGCATCCCCATACAGAGAACAAATGCATAGTACAATGTTCAAAAATGTTCAGAAGAGGACCGGAAAATACTTTTACAAATCCAAGTTGCTTAGTAAAAGCGTTTAAGTGATTTTTCTCCGAAATGCACCTGAAAAGGTATACAAAAAGTGTATCATTTTAAGTTTTATGGTGGGAGCACTTGTGTGTGCGCAAATTACACTGCATATAAGTACAATTTTAATTATTGACAAGTTAATTTTAGACCATTTGCTTTTCCTTCTCCTCGTACTCTTCCATTTTGGTACTTGCATATTGATTATAACGACCCCATATTTAGATAGAATCATTTTAAATTGTTCAGTTTCCTTTCTTATATATTTTAGGCTACCAACAAGATATCAAGAAACTGTTCTTTCACTTGCATTTATTTTTTTTAGAGAATTTTGCAAGATTTTGTTATTAAATCAAAAAACGCGCAACGAGTGATATCACTGCAAATTAAACATATCAGGAGTAAATTTGATTTGAAAAATGTATATATCAGAGATCGTAAAATAATAAAAAATAAAAAAAGAAACCCGGAGGAGTGGCGAGCGAGGTGACATAGGGTTAAACTTCTCGGGCATATTAAAAGACAACACACAACGGACTGCTTAAAACAAACGACTAATCTAATCACTTAATTGACTATTAAGAGGAATCCAACGATCCGCGACGCGCTAGATCATCCGCAAAATAGTTCACCAAAAATAAATTATTATCCGACCTAACCAGTGCATCCGTTGCCTTTGGAAAAACACCAAAATAGGTTCCTATGGTAACTGTTTAGGTTAGACAATAAACATCTCAAATACTCAAAACGAAATATTAGAGACCACTTAAAGCTAAGAACACCGACATATATATTTCTACTCCCTAATCTAAAATACAGTAATTTAAGATATCAGCTTCCTTACCCACGTTCACGAGCAACTTCAGACGTTTTCGGTACTTTAGTCATGGATTTGGGAAGGATCGGGTGTTTTCGGAAAATTTCAGCCATTCAATTTGGCGTTTGTTTGTTAGTATCAGTGAAACTACTCGTGATGTTTTGCAGAAATGTACACAAAAACTAATGTACTGATGGAAGTATAGTACGGCACCACATTAATAAACTTTTTCGGTCACTATTTTATTAATGAAACTCATAATTAAAATGTAAAATACTGAAATACTGTAACACACCGATATAGTATGCGGAAAATGTCATTTTACCACATCAGTTTCGTTTCTGACGGATCCGGACAACTTCTGACATTTCCGGGACATTACCGTGCGGGTTTCGAAGCAATCGGATATTTTTAGAGATATTACTGCACGACTTTTGGTATGACAATCAATGTATTTGTGTTTTGCAAAAATGTCCTACAAGAATGAATGGCCGCAGGAAAAATATAGTATGCAACACGTTTGGTAAACTTTTTAGTGCCGTTTACCACACTTGTTTGTAACATACTATTAAGGACTTTAATTTAATAGATGCGCCCAAGAGTGTCGAACAAAAACCACTTGAATAAGGATTATCTTTAAAAATCACATATTTTTTGACAGCTTTACTAGGTGCAATAAAGAAGTTAGTTAAATATTTTAGATTGCGGTTATGCCCCCATATTGAAAATTTGAAAATATTTTCCACGGTCCTCTTATAGTCAGTGATGGACCTTTTCTATTAGTCACCCTGTAGACTTACCTAATATTGTACCGTGGCTTTGCATGCGGTTTATTTGTTATAAACCGCTATTACGGAGACAATGGGTGACGCAGAAGACTGTCATACAATACAAAACAATTCGACTCAGCATCAAATTGATTTTACGTTCAATGTCAATTGCAAAACTTACAGGCGACATGAATCCGCCGGCTGTCTTGTGCTGATCCACCAGGAAACCGAGGATTATCTGCGCGACAAACGAGCACCTTGCCATCATCCTCTGCGTGCACGTTCAGGGTTAATATACTGCCCGTAAAAGAAGTGGTCTCCTCTACCTAAAAGTAAACCGTTTAGTACGTAAAATTGATACATATCCAGATTGTTGATTGATAATTATCAACCTTAAAACCGAAATGTCGTTTATACCAAGAAAATGTTTCATGTCAATCTCCACCACCCTATTAAAATCAGAATTTGATTCAAAGTGTATTGAAAATTAATTTAGGTCCGAAAATATTCCCGGGTGCGAAAATGTACCGATCTTTAGACTGACATTTCAAGTTGAAGCGTGATTCTGAATAGTGGCCTCAGGATTGACAGAAAAGAAGTGCAAATATGTAGAATGGAAAGTTGATTTCGTTAGAATAATTAACTTCAGCAATAATTATTATTCGGGTATCTTCAGTAAAGACCCTTGTTACCTGGACTACATATGTTCATATGGTTACTTTTTGATTTTACATTTTTTGAAACTCTTAAAAGTTTCAGTGGATTCAAGCATATAGCTACTAGACATACAGACGCCCTGCCTATACTGACGGTACAGAAACTTATGAAGCAAATATGTAATTTTTGCGCAAGACTTAAAATTTCGTTTGTAACCAATGGCAGCTGTAATGACAAATTCTGACGTGGGTCCGATAAGACCTTGCGGCTTTCAACAAACACCATGACCGCTGACAGATCCTCGATGTTTGGATGCGGCATTTTTACGGCAGTATTTTCTCAAAATATGTCGAAAATCCTATCCTAAGTCTGGAAAAGCAGTGCAGAAATGGAACACCTGCGTCGGCGTCAGTATAATTCTGTAATTAATTTGGCGTTTTTGTTCTTCAAGCCTTTTTATGTAAGCAATTTTTTCTGTAAATCGGCGCAAATCGTTAATTTTCATAGACTCGTAGGTCTAACCTCCACTGAAATAACTTTGAGATGCTGGATATCGCACATGAAACATCTAAGTGAAAAAATGTTCAAGAGGCACCTCCCATAGAGAGTAATTGACAAAAGGGGTATTTCTTATGTTTGTTCTAGTAAAAACTTGTAACTTAAATGCTTTGTTTATATTTCTTCAAAGTCTTGTAGCTATTCCTTCGTAGCTATTTAAGTGAACCTTAAAAGGTAGGAAATTCTGTTTAGTAAATTCACATGTAAATATTTGTGCAAGTCTATTTTCCAGTTTGTTAAATGTCATATATATATATAGGCATCACTATTTCTTTAAGATCGTAGTAGGTCCACATTTGCTGTAATTTCTCGAAAGATCAAATTATACAAATTTGTGAGTACGGTACGGAAATGTTGACACCAAAAATGAAAACAGCAATGGCACAGGGCCACAGACTATTCTGCGACAATAGAAATTACTTAGTTCGGTGTTGCCAGTTTTGTTCGGATTTCAGAGATTGATGCTGCGTTCTTATAAAAATTAATCAATTTTCCAGAAAAATGACGGCAATGTAGCAACTCAGTCAGTTGGGGGGTAACGCATGCGCAAAAGATCCACATCTTCCCTACGAAAACATCATAGCCACCTGCGGCGCATCCATTTTTACCGTAGTAGGACCACTATATTACCTTATAGCTACAAGTACAATTATCAAGTTTTGTATAGCCGTGCAATAGTTTATATAGAATAAAAATTAGCGCGAATTGAAATGCGCCTTCGGTAGAGCATCAAAAAGGAATTAACACCAATTTCAAGTAATACAGTTACAAAGAAGTAGTTTATGTTTAAACAGAACCCATTGTTAGTTCAATGCAATCGAGCACCTTTAAGTTAAACTATTATTGTAACATTAAAAAAAGCAACAGTTCATGAACGTTTCGCAAAACATCCACAGGCTATTTATTAAACACCATATAATTTATTATACCTTGAAACACACCCAACAAAAAACAAAAAAAGACTTGAACATAAAACGTTTCCATTACTATCGCATATTTTGTCAAATTCGGTAGAAAATATCGTTATAGCGCGATAAGCCTTCAAAATTTCCAGATATTCGTAAAGTAATTCAGCTCCGTAACATTAATAATTTGCACACAACATCCTTTCAAATATTTATTTCTTTTTCAAACCAAGAAATGGGCTCGTCGGTTCTGTTGTTTATACAACAGCAAACAAGACCGAGTGAAACGCAATTAACAAAGTTTGATAATTTACTTTAACGAATTATGTCAACGGCTAAACATTTTAGTGGCCAAGGTTCGGAAGTATTCGAGCCCTCTGAGGAATTTAAATCCATGCCTCGGGGTTTGCATTCTCGACGTGCCGACACGAGCAGTGTTTCGAATAAATCGAAATAGATCTTACAAAGATTTCTACTTCCATAAGTTTTCGTCACCCATATTTGCCACGCCGTGAAATCAAAACTGTTGGTTTGATCGAAAAGTTGTAGCACGACAGCCCAGTTACTGATTATAGCTCTTCGGAAAATATTATCGGTTGTGCCAAATTTTTTCTTCATATTGCTACAACGTGGATAATAATAATTTACACAAATTATTTTAATACAGTGCGATATATATGCCTTCAGATCTACCGCTATTGTAACGACTCCTAGAAATATATTTAGCTTATTCATTATTTGAGTCCGAAATTTTTTGGAACCATTTTAAACCATTTGTAATATATTATGCAACAAGTCAGAGAAATGCCCTATTCACGCATCATCTTTTGGGTAAATTTTTGCAAAACAACATAAAAATATTCACTGAGCTCGATCGGTATATAACTGAGTATTGCAGACTAGGGAGCACAAAAGAAATATTATAGAGATAAAAATTACAGCAATGTTTACGCTAGACACGAGATTCCATTATCGAAAGAACTTTGGTGCTTTATATTTAAAAAGCTTTAGCTTGCATTTTTTGAAGAATAGCCATATATGAATATGTTTCTTATTTTGAAACCTAAAGTCACCCCTCACGGTGTTTCGGCATTAGTTTGAGACCCTATATATCTAGCGTGTTACTTAAAAGTATGTACTTAACTCCTGTGGTAATTTGAAGTAAGAAAGTTTATATAAACATGTATCCTACTATGTCTAGTTTTCAAAATACAGCGTGTGAAACTTTCATAAATCAGATTTTTATCAATATTTTATTATTAGTTTGACGATGTTGAAATTTGCCAATGTTATGTGATAATAAGTAGCTCCTTTAGTCCCAAGTAGATTGAACGGTGCCTTCATCGCCAACACCTTTGGAAAAAAATATACGCCACGGAATTCTTTTTAATTTTCATCCTTCCTCAGAATAAGTAACGCAAAAGGAAACATTTTTGTCTCTCATTTAATTTTTATACTTAAAATTTTGTTTTTATTCGGTCAATGAATTTGATTAAGATAATAATTTTTTGAGCTTGTAGACACTATGACTTATGTTCATGTCAACTCTTTTTGTTGATATTGAAAGTATTATCAACTGTTGTAATACTGTTACTTTCGAAACATTCGTGATTTGCGCATTTGACTTACCTTCAAAAATAACATTTCAAACAACTATCACGTTTAGAAGAATGTTGGGGAAAATTTGCCCAAAATATCGAAACTTCCTTATTAGTTTATCCCCTAATTACAGTTCGGGTCAGAATTGCCGCGTAAAGCTAAATGGACTTAAATGAGTTACCCGTCGTGTTTCTGTTGGTAAAAAGAAAAATAAAAAAGGATAACATAATGTGCCGGAAACGAAATTTGTTCTTTCTTTGATTTTACTCCCGGTGTTAATAGAAGCTTGGGACGGAGAAAGCTTTTAAAAAGTTTGTAAATGGAAACATCAAATTATGGGCAAGCGGGTAAAAAAAAGTGAAAGCCAAAGTTTCGTCTAAATTACCTACTCTTTTTATATTGCATCAAGTTAACGAGAAAGCGTGGGCTTGTAATTGCGTTTCGCGCGATAGGATAAAATGGGAAAAGATGGGTTTCATTGACAGGGTCGATTGAAGGACGAGGAATATTTTATTTTACGGGCGGATATCAAAATACGGTGGTCGCTGATGGCACTTCCTCGCTATTCTCTTGGTTTTTATACTTTCCCAAATTGGTGTTCTTTCATGCCGCTTTGCGTTCGTTGAAAATGAGCGCTTACGTGTATACCATTCAACAAATTGCGTTTCGACTTTTACGCTTGGATTCTAAAGTAATTCGAGTTCCTAGAAAAATTTCAACTAGATCATTATTGTTTCAGCAGATATTCTGAAGTCGGTTGGCTTGTATATTCCCATTGCCGAAATGAATTTCAGTGGCGAATCTGTGTACACAAATACACTTTTATCAGAAATTCCTTAAGAATTACCACTATATAGCACTTATAATCTGTTTAATCTTCATTTCAATGGCAAACAAAAATAACATCCAAAAGAGCGAAAGTAATATCATTATCAAAGTTCAAATATATGAGAAATGAATACAATCGGTACAAAATTCATATAATTTCCTACTTTCATTACGACCTCTTAAAAAATTAATCTTATAATTAAAACACAAAACGATATTAATAGATAATATCTAACTTATCCTGAAATATGATATTGAAATTCTATATTTACCAGTCCTATAATAGTATTTTTCTACTCCCATCTGTAACATACTTAATTACCCACCGATCTAGCGTGCGGGAAGCGACACTTTACCACTTCAGTTTCGTTTCCCATTAATCCGAGGCACTTTGGACATTTCCGGGATTTTACCGCACGGATTTGGGAGCAATCGGATGTTTTCGGAGATATTTCCCACACTTTGAAATTTGACGTTTGTCAATTCCGACGGTCATGTCAGTGAATGTATTCGTATTGTTTTGCGAAAATGTACCCAAAAACTAACGGTAGTAGAAAAAGCATAGTATGCAACACGTTCGGTAAATTTTTAACTCACTCGTTTATTAAAAACTCGCTCCGCTCGTGTCAAATAAACGCGTGAGTCAAATGCCGTTTACCGCACTTGTTGCATAATATACTATTTTCTACTCCCGTCTGTAAAATACCGAATTACACAACGATCTAGCGTGCGGGAAGCGTTACTTTACCACGTCAGTTTTGTTTCCCAATCCACTTCGGACAATTCCGCGATTTTACCACATCGGTTTCAGAGCAATCGGATGTTTTCGGAGATCTTTCCCACCCTTTGAATTTTGACGTTTGACAATTCTGACGGTCATGTCAGTGAATGTATTCTTGTTGTTTTGAAAAAATCTAACCAAAAACTAACTGTTGTGGAAAAAGTATAGTGTGCAACACGTATGGTAAACTTTGTAAGTCACACGTTTATTAAATATTCAAATGCCGTTTACCACCATCGTCTATTAAGCACTCGCTACGCTCGTGCCAAACCAAACCAAAAACCTCGTGACGCAGTAGGAGGACACATGGTGGAACACAAAATTCACGGCCAAAATGTTACTGAAATATAAATGTACTTAATTGTCTTACAAAAAGTTTATTTATTTTTACATAAGTCATAAACCGGGTAATATGAAATCTCTCACAGTTTCTATTCTTATTTCAGAGAAAATATACTACAATATGTAGAGTAAATAGCAACAACACACCTCATCAGATAATCAATTTTCTCTAAAGTATAAATCTCAAATGAAATGAACTTGCTAAAGAATGATTCCACATCATTAGAATGAGAAAAGAAATGCAAACTAGAAATTAATAAAATTTTACTTTATTTATCATAGTCATCATAAAACTTATATAATAATGATTAATTTAATTAAAAATCCCGGAAATGTCAGAAATGGCTCGGATGCGTGGGACACGAAACTGACGTGGTAAAGTGACGCCTGCCGCACTTTAGATCGGTGAGTAATTAGGTATTTTCAGACGGGAGTAGAAAAAATTAATTGTTTTCATCCAAGGAGTTAGCTAAATTTTTAGTTTCACTTCTATTGTTTCTGTCATCTACATTTGAGTTTAAAATGTTCGCTCGTCTGATATCTTCTTTCGCGAAAATTCGAATAAATTTGCAATTTTTATCGCATTCCTAAAACGTAACCTTATTTTTGTTTCAGAAAAAGTATTGCTTACATTTGCTTTTAGAAAACTCAATTAGTGATCCCTCATAAAATTACCGCCCCATAAAATAACGTCATGAAACCAGGTCAAAAATTTAACGGTTATGGTAAATTTATTGTAAATAAATATTTTTAGCGGGTTCGTAACTTTATGACTTCGATGTGTCAAATAACGCATTTTTTAAGCCTCCGCGGCGAAACGGGAAAATTTTTCCACTGCATGGGTTAGATAAATTAAATGTAAATAAAATTTTAAAAATTAAATTGGACGCTGCATGCTATGCATTTTCATACATAATAAATAAACATACTTTACCGAATTTGACCATGATTTATATATGCATATGGCATTGACAAACCGATTGGAGGGGCTGTTGGCTGTTCAAAATTTAATAGATAGAAATTTATCAACCTCGATGCACTTTTCAAAATTTTACGTACCATGTGTTTGTTAATATAACAAAAAGGATAATTGCATTGATGGTTCGTTGTATGCTCAGTGGAAATGGCTAAGAGTGATTTCTAATGAATTAAAGCAAAACTGGAAAAGTAATAATGACAAAATAAATTTAAAACGTTAGGAGGTTTCGTTAAGACTATCGGTAGCATCTTAAGGATGACTAAAAATGAGTTTTTCACAGAGTTAAACGTGAAGCCAGGAACCTAGGCTATAGCATATAGCTAGCTTACACATTTTTGCAGCAGGAGAGACGATAATGGAGAAGTCAAGCCAACCCGGCAAGATTTTGGAGAACGATATTTTTTGAAAGACGGGAGTTCTGAGAACAACCTTTCGCCAGGTCAGACCAGAGGGCACCTGCTGAGGCGAAAACCACAAAGGAATTCTGGGGTACAGTATGACGAAATTTGTGAGGGATCCCGATTAATCATTCCAAGGAGTTTACAGGGAATTATAGGTATTAGTATACCGTTTCTTTCTGAGGTTGCAATATATGTATTAAATATAATTATATGCCTCAGGAGATACAATCTCATTCATTTATTCATCCATTCACATTTATGTTCAATGGAATCCGGTTATTTTCGATAAAAGTAATTTGAATTCAGATTACAATTTTTGTGGCATAACATATAACGAAAAATAATATGTAGAATATTTTATAGCAATATGCTCTTTTCAGGAAAGTATAGAGTAACGAAGTGGAAAATTCCGTCCAGCGCCACTCAATTTTGGTTAGTTTTGGTAGGCGCAGGTAAACTTGATGCAATACAATTATTATTGGTGGCTGTTATAAATTCGATGCTAATAAATATGCATTGTTTCAATTAGTTGAATTAGTTTCAATTTGTCAAATTTTTAATGCATTAATATTGTCTTAAGTAAACTCATCGCGAAAAAGAGTTAGGAACGAACAAAAATACTGATTACATATTTTACTACTTAAATAATTCAATAATCAATAATGCATGGTCTTTAACAATTGATTAAGATTGATTAGTTGACTAAACCAAATTATTAATGGAACAATGAGTAATAATACTAAATATTTGAATGAAAGTCGAAAAGTCGGAATGTGAGCTACTTGGTGATTTGGTGTCCTTCGAGAGTATTATAAGAAATTAATAAAATTATGTGGTAGCATATTATTTTGATTTTTACATTAGGGATAATTACACATTACTAACAAAATATTGAGCATTATGTTCTTTTATGATTTCAACTGAGTCGTCGGACCCTTATTTGAATATCTAATGACTTAAAAAACGTATATCGTATTTATTCTTTCTCAGAATATTATTTTTTCTGTCATTAAGCCAGAAAATTCTACTTAGATTTATAACCCTGGAAAAGTCATTTTTAACCACTCCAGTTTATTATACATTAAGCCTTTTGGAGATATTCGAATAGCCCCCGCCACTTTATTTGCTGAAATACAGCGAATCCCATTGAACAAAAAAGATTTAAATTTTTCTCAGCTTTAAAATGATACTGTAACTGTGGTTAATATTGGTATATTTGGTAATTTTAACGCATCAGTATTTAAATTTGCTGTTAATCCGTAAGGTTAACATTAAACGAAAAATACTCCAATAATTGTTCACCATCAGTGAGTGATAAAGTTATTATTTTGAAATGAACATGATTTCATAAAATACGATTACCCGACATTTGCTCAACGAGAAACAAACTATCGACCGATGTGTCCGAAAGACTGGCGTTGGAAAATCCACCATTTTTAATTTATTGCGACAAAGAAAGACAGCAGGATATATGAAACTTTCCAAGGAAAGTCCAGACAGACCAGCAGATATACTTGACACTAAAGTGTAAAATTGCAATTCGAAGAAATTTTCACTGTTTAGAAAATTTTGCTTGCGAAAAGAATAACCGTAGAGCACTTTTACTGAAAAGAGATGTAATTGATGACTGGCGACGAAAATACAGTACCGAAGAGAGCAGAGTTTAAACTTTTTATTTTGATGAAAATGGGATTAATGTGCGTGGCAACCGTTAAAGTGCGTTAACGTAAAGGTAAGAGACCAATAATTGTCCATATTGTCGACTGATTTTGTAATATTGCTAAATAATACTACGTACATAATGCCTAATGGCTCATCTGTTAAAATTTTCTTTTTCGGAACTCTGTGGGAACACCGTTTTTAGTGTTGAATTATAGATAAGGCAATATGATATTCCAAAATTTGTATTAATGTTGTTGAGAATTTAACTGATGGTGCTGTTACAAAAGAAAGTACAGGTCATATTGGCATATTCTGTTTGTGTAATTTAATTAAAGAATATAATTTTGGAGGTTAAGGATTCATGATTATTAGTTGGTATTTTTCACTGTCATTAAAAAGTGATGAATCTGTAATTACAGTTTTGATTTGTTTTTGATATAACTCATATCATATCATATAGTATACTTTGGTATATGTCTGGTTTAAGTATATATAAGTGTATAACTAAAAAACAGTTTCAAATAAATCTATCCCATATTAAACACCGATCCCAAAATTTATTAAAAAATATGTAGAACCTAGTAAGAAAATTTCGAAACATCTATCTAAATTTGGTCTTAAGATTGCTATTAAAACGAACATAAGAATTTGTATAAAGATAAAAGTTGGGATTCAAACTATGCCATTCATTTAAATTCAGAAGTGCACAAGTTTGACGATTTTGATATTTTACATAATCAATCAAAAAGCAAAAAAATAAGTTTGTTGGAAGTTATGGAGATTAACAAATTGAGATATTCGAACCTATTACTTAATGACCAATTGGATTTAAATGCGTCTCCGTTGTTAAATTTAAATTTCTAACCCTACAACGGTAATTAACAATCTATTACTATCTGTTTATATATAGAGGTGTCAAAATATTGTCATATTGTGTATTTGATAAAGGCACGGTGTTACCGAAACATAAGTTATTAAATGATTGTGAAAATATGAACATTTTTTGTTCTAATTTAATTCATTTACAAGATGTCGTTGATGTTACCTTTGAGGTATAGCAGATTATATTAAAAAAAAAGTAATTTAGTGTAAATGCAGCAACTTACCGAAATATACCGAAATACTTCACGAGCGACAAAATTGAACATCGATACAATTTACCTAATTCGGGTCGAACCCATAGCGATAATCCGTTTAGATAACTACGTATTTTCGACCTGACCATATCCTAATTTGTTAATATCTAATATACGGCTTTCCTATCTGGGACTCATTAACCTGCACCCCGACTGGGTTTCCAAGTTGAGCAAAGTTCTTAATGTGCCGTAACTTACTTACCGTTACAACGGCGTTCCTAATAGGCTTTCCATCAAGCACCCATATTAGTTTGGCAGGCGGATAGGAGCCGGACGTTTCACATCTGACTGTTTGCGATTTGCTGATGGACAGTAGATCGTTGGGGGTTACGATTTTTACTTTGTTCGGTTTTACTGCGAAAGAAACAGTTGTTCAGTTTTCGAGCCATTACGAGGAGTTCCGAGTCGGTGTTTCAATGGAAGTGAACGATTGACTACAATGGACTGAAAACGAGTCTTTGCTTTTTATATACCTTTTTTACCATACATTTTCCGATTTTAATACACATAGAAATTGCAACACCCGGTATATGCTTAGCTATAGCTACATGAAATGTAGTAGTGTAGATAATAACAGTCCCATTCCCAGTCTGTTTGCAAAAAAACAAACTTTTTTTTTATTTAACAAAACAATCAGGTTCTACTAATGTTTTTCCTTAAAGACCTCGAACTAATCATATTGAGTCCAATTTGAGCCAAAGCTAAAAACGATGAGAGCAGTACAAACGCGGATTTACCAACCGGTCTGGTCTGTAATGTTAACCTTAAGTTTTCAAACATTTGGCACTAGATGTAGAGCATCTACCACATTATTTTTTTTGTCGAAAAAGGACAAGATTGTAGCAACGGACGCGCCATAGTTTGAAGTCCTTTTGCGGTTTGTAAAAAGGTTTGAAATGTTGAGAAAATATTAAGTTTTCTTGGAATTGAATCAGTTTGTTTTATATTACTTTCTTAAATACTTTACCCAGTTTTTCACAACTGTGAACATATTTTTGTTTCATTAGAGACATCGTTTATCAATGCCTCCTATAAAAAGATATACCGTGTATCGTAAGCATATTGGAAACATAATTGACTGGAATACTACAACACTGATTCAATGTTGGCCTGTACCTCGTCGCCATAGAGTTTGTACTATACTGTTGGTGTTTGTAAATAGAGTGATTGCTAAGAACGGCTCCTAAGATTTAATGACCTTAAACCAGCGCAACGGGTCTATAGATATTACATATTATAATTTCACAATAATTACAATCGTACCGTCCTCGGTCGGTATTGCAATTAACTAATAGAGATAGACAGTTGCTTCTTGCATAAGTGTCAATAATGAGTTCACTGGAGTTAAGAGTTGAATCGGAGTATTTTTAGTAACGAATCATGTTTTTTGTTTGTTGACTCAATGGACAATGGATACAGAAGAGCCCGCCGAAGACGTAGGAAAAGGCGCCAACTTCAATTTTACACGGAGATTGAGACTGTGTTTACTGTAGCAGTAGGTGGCATTAATGTTGAAAATAGGTCACATCCAGAATATTTGTTCAGAAATATGAACTATTAATCTCACCTTAGTAACGTGTAACAACTGTTAGAGAAAAGGTTTTTCCGCTACACTTACTACTTGAAAAAGTATTGGGAAATATCATACAACAATAGGAGGAATTAATATGAAGCGAATATGGAAAAATAATTGAAAATATTTCGAAATATATTGGGTTGCCGATGTTCATTGTTTGTAAAATTAGTATTATTTATAATTAGTTGTAGCTTTTTGCGATTATGTAGAACTCGAGATGACCGGTTACACTTGTTTACACACATATTTTTATTTAATATATTGTCAATATTAAAATAAAAAATCCCGTCGTTTTCTTGAAAGCGTTTATAAAATGTCTACAGTACTTTTGTAAATAGTTGAATTATTCATGTGACATATATATACATAAAATTAAGGTAAAAGTGCATAAATTTTATGATATAAAAGAAAGGAAGTTATTCGCCCAAAAAAGCCGTTTGTAATGTAAACAAAAGTGACCTAATTAGAGCGGCTGTTTGTGACCGCTGTCTGTTCGGAAATTAAAGTTCGCGCTGATTAAACGCTGGAAGTTATAACTATTAGCCTCTAAAGTTTCACTTCGGCAAGTTAAGCTTAGTTTTGATATGCAGGCTTCGAGATTTATTGTTGTTCTAAGTATTTGCCTGCAAACTTTCAAGGTAATTGCTGCACTACCAGTTTGCTTTACGTAATTGTTAATAAAATCAATGAGAATGGTATTAATATCTGAATTCAATTGATTATGCTAGCGATTCAGTGAAGCTTACACTAGCAATTGGAGCCATCATTAGTTTCAATTTGCAACATCAACAGCATATACAATATAATAATAAGCTTACTCTTCCGAAACGTTGAAAACTTTTGTTATTGCTTGCCGATAAGGTGCAGACAATAAAACGGTTTTCTGTGTAAAGGAATGCTTAAAGAACAACAAATAACCTACTAAATATTAAAATGTTGAAATGATGAAATGACATTAAACAAATTAAAAAAATTCAAGCATGAAACTTCTAAATAAAGTGACAGTAAGTCTAATTTTGGAAATTTTTGGAAGTGTTGGGAATATCTTGATGTGAAAAAAAAATAGGGACGAGGTGTGGATTTGAGGATACAGAATATTCGGTAAAAAAGTGATTTTACAAATTTCAAGAGAAATGTTCTTTAAGGTTGTTTGGAACTCATCAATTTTAGAATGTATATTTATACCGCCAAATTATTACCAATTTATAAAGCTTTGATAATCTCATAAATTCTTCCCCGAACACAGTAAAATTGTTCCGTCAGTTCAGTGAGAGAGAAAAATCAAGACACTTTCGTCAAAGTAGTCAATTCAAAATGATACCGTAGGACCAAAAATATAGTGCATTTATTGCTTTGACGTTTTAAGTATCTTACTGTATCTTAACCGCAGACCTTCGCAACACCGTGGTAAAACACATCCCAACAGATGTTTATTTTGCATTAGTAACAGTAATGAATATTTGTAGAAATCTAAAATGTAAATGGACCGTTTTAAATTTAATGAAGCAATAATACTGCTGCGTATATAGAAAAACGCGGTGTGATAACAGTAACAAGAGTGTACTAGACACACATGGAAAATGCATAATAATTCTTCATGCTGGGAATAAAAATGGTTTTGTTTGCCAAAACCATGAAAATATGACCGCGGAAATATTTGAGGACTGGTTTGAAAATAAACTGTTGCCAAAACTATCCCCAAATATTGTTATTGTGTTGGATAATGCCTCGTATCATTCAGCCCAAAATTAGAAAAAATTCCAAATACGTCTTCAAGTAAAGAAGAAATCAAAGAATTTCTGTATGAAAATGATTTATATTTTGAAGAGAGACGAAAAAAACAATTTCTGGAATTATTAAAGAAGTACAGGACAGAGTTCACACTTCATAGCCAAACACAATATAGAACACCTTTTTGAACAGAGCACTAATTAAATTAATAATACTTGAATACATTAATAAATAGTAAATTTAAAGGCGTCATTCTAACAGCACCTATTTAAGAAATATATTTAAATTAGTATTTACACTATCTAATAAGCACAAATGTTAATAGCATTGTTAGTAAACCTCATCATTTGATGCTGAGAATAATGAGAGCCAAAATTAATGCTCTCGGACTATTGATAAGAGATCATTGGGTATTCAGAGAAACTTTTTCAAATAATTTTTCTAAGTAACTTCCACAGGCTACTGTAACACTTTTTATGCACTTCTGGATTCCTCCAGCATCGGTTTTTGTTGAGTCGAACCAGCTAACAATTCGCCAATCACCCTGTTGGCTACTTCAGAGCTCGACTGAAGCTGGCTCGCATTTTACTGTGTGTTATATTGTTTGAGGGGGCGGAGCTAAATGAGTGGCATAAACGCCGTCTCGGATGACTGATTCTCACATTGGTGATAGGTAGAGACCTGAGTCGCAGTTAACATTGTTAGGTTATAGCACTCTCGGATTTTTCGTTGGTAGAAGAATTAAATTGAATTCAATTTTAGTTTTATAGAATAAAATTTTATGTCCAGTTTCGTGATTGTGTTTGGCAACTGCTGATGAGTTTATTTGTCTTAGTCTTAAAGCTGAGCCTAGTTGATATTTTTCGTCTGGTCTCTCTAATGTGTTCTTTGCCGCATATTCATGGAGTGCTGGCATCTCAAATGAGAGATTTTTGGATAAGTGGTAACATTATATTTCTTTAGATATGTGATCAGTGATGTTTTTTATGTAAGGAAGGACAACAGTGCCAAGTGTGGGATTGCTTTCGGCTTCGTTGCTATTGGAAGGTTGTGGTGAAGTGAATTTATTGATGGAACGCTTAATATCTTTAATGTGGAAATTATTAGAGAAGAGCAGAAGTGAGGTATTTTAATTCTGGGTTCGATGACTCTGATTGAGATAGTTTTATGGTTCTGTAAACAAGAGAGTTGACAACCGATTATTTTTGGGACGGATGGTGATGTGGCAATGCATTAAGGTATGGGTCTGTGTGCGTAAGTTTTCTGTAAACACAAGTACCTAATGTTAGGTCTAATTTTCTATTGTAAAGAATATCTAAGAATGGCAGGTTGTTATCCGGCCCAAAAATCATCGGTTATCAACTCTCTTGTTTACAGAGCCGTAAAACTACCTCTGCCCCAGTCATTGAACCCAGAAATAAAACACATTACCCCTGCTCTTCTCTTTAATAATTTCCACATTAAAGAAATTAAGCAATCCATCTTACAAAATACACTTCACCACAATCTTCAATAGTAATGAAGCCGAAAGCAATCCCACACTTGCCACTGTTGTCCTTGCTTACATTTAAAACACCACTGACCACATATCAAAAGTTCTAAAGAAATATAACGTCCTAACCAGATTTACCACTTTACTAGTGTCCATGCAGCCGCCCCGCACACCGAACTTCTTTGCATACAGTTATGTAGTACGCCGCTACCACAAGATGAAATTTAAATTCAGTCAGAAAATAGGCGAATAATAAACTTAATTTAATTATATATTTTACATTATATTTATATTATTTTATACCTTTAAAATTAACACACACACCATTTAAAGTATTTTCTTTTATTGTCCAACGGCGAATTTAAAGCACAAGCTGCAAGAAAATTAAATGCAAAGATACTACTTGCAAAGGCGATAAATTATAGAATGGAGAAACCCGGTACATATTCAAATCCTTCCCCATCTTCCAGCGCATGTTGTAACTCCCAGATGGTTACATCATCCATTCAAGATATATAAGCTACTAAAACATCTAAACTTACAGAAAACAGTTATCGGCACTTCGCGGACTATGTCGCCAGCATTCTCAGAGGAGGAAGTGCGACACTCGAGGCGAGCTCCCTTGAGGTGTCTCGGCACGGCCGTGATAAGCAGTTGATTTACCGAGGTGTGGGAATCTCGACTCGAATCCACCACGCTGTCAAGAATGGAGTCGTTGTACCACCAAGTGAGCATAGGCCGGGGACGTCCTAAAAGTTAAATTTTTGATAACCTAGCGATCGATTATCAATACAGTCGCATTTACATTACAGTTTTTCAAGTACCGAGTTAATATTATTACCGACTTTGAACGGGAGGCGGTTCGACAAGGGTAAGATAACTCATAAACGTTAACGCGTATGGAAAAAAACATATTTGTAAGGTTTAAAAAGATTTATTAACTAAAAATAGTTTCCACGATAAATAGTTATTACAATTTAAATGTTTTTATATGGGACACCCCTATATAGCACATCACCCGACGCAGATAGTTTAATAAGTATGGTCTGTTCATAGATATAAGAAAGCGACCAATTGCTTTTGAATGGGATTATCCAAGGGTTGTCATTAAGATACAATGTAACAAGATTATTACCTAAAGCTTCGGAATTTAAATTCAGGTAAAATTGTGGTCCGTAATAGAAAATAATTTTATACCTACTTGTGTTTAATATTCCTTGGTTTGGTATACTACCTAGTTTAAGTTTATTGGTAATCATTCTTATTTCGTGTGTAATACAGCGTATGTTGAATTGTGTGCGAATTATGCAAAATATGTGCGAGTTTAGTGTATCTCAGGAGATGCTCCCGCCCAAATGTAGAAAACACTATTCTATTGAGACTAAGGAAGTTATAAACAATGCTTATTTGACTCTCATTGAACGTGGTGCCAGCAAGCGAGCATCTTTAGAAGAAACGGCCACATTGACGAAAATTCCAACATGGTATGGAAAATTGTGAATAATCCCATTTCAGCGAGGAAAAAAAGAAGGGATGCTGACATTTTCTCGAGTGTAGATGATCAAGATATAATACGGCGTAAAATTTACCAGTTATACGAGGAACAAAGCGTGCCTACATTAGATATCTTAATTACGAGGCTTGAAATAGATGAAACAGGTGTTAAATGTGGCAGAACTACCTTATGGAAGTACATTCAACACATGGGTTTTAGATTTAAAAAAAATGACAAAGGGCAAGTATTAATGGAATCTTTCCGAACTCGGAAATGGCTACTGGAATATTTAGAAAAAAATTGGATTTACAGAGAACAACAAAGGCCAATTATTTACTTGGATGAAACCTGGTTCGACACTTATGATACCCCGGAAAAGGGTTGGGTTGACTCAAATGAGAAGTGTAAAACAAACGCGCCATCAAAAAGAGGTAAAAGAATAACTATTTTGCATGGTGGCTCTAAAGATGGTTGGATTCCAAATGGACTTTCTCTGTCTGCGAAAAATTTTAAAGATTCTACTCTGGATTTCCATGAAGACACCACCGCTGATTTATTTGAAAGTTGCTTTAAAAACAAACTAGTTCCAAATATTCCTCCTAATAGCGTAATTGTAATGGACAATGCAAGTTATCACAGTAGACAGTTGACTAAAACCCCTTCCTCACGAAGATTAAACCAAAAAGCAATTAGTTGAGGTTCTACAAAGCTTGAACGTACAAAAGGAATACGTCTGTGATAATTATGAAAAAAATCTAGGGCATACAGTTTTAAGGTTTCCACCTTACTAATATAACACTTAATAATAATAAGAACAGGCGATGATAGCGATAGTGATACATATATATTATGTGAATAATTTAAGTAGGTAATAAAAATAATTTGTAATTTTATTTTAGATTTAAACATAAATACATAGATAAATAAATAAATATTGTTTTGTATCTTTCCTAACAAAACCCCAAATAATTTCAATTTTATTCTTACAGTTAGTCATTTTCTTATATCTATGAACAGACTTTAACAATTAAATGTTGGATATGGGGCAGAAGATTTACTTGGGAAAATGAAAAATTAGGTAGTTTCGAAAAGAAATTTAGAGTCTTTCTTAAAAACTGATTTTTAGAAAACAGAAATATAATTTTTCCCTTTTTACAGAGCCTATTACAAAAATAGTATGTAATTTTGGCCAAATTTTGCACATATAACATATCAATCGCCTATTATTATAAAAATTTATACAACTAGTTTTGTTAGTTATTGTAGAAACTGCAAAATATATAGTGAATTATATGAACTGCTTAACTAAAACTGCCTCATATTCTACTCTGTACCTGGTTTTATATTGTTGAAGAGGGGTGCAGCTAAAGGGGTCGTGTGAAGATTGTGGCGTGGTTACGATTGTTTGTTTGCTTAAAGATTTTTAGAAGAATTTTATTTTTATCGAATAAAATTTGTTCTTTGAGCCTAGTTCATATTTTTCGTCCGGATCGTCCAAAGTATTATTTTGTTCTTTGACGGATCAAAGATGTTGAGGGATTATTGGACAAGTGGTAAATTTCGTTCTGACGTTATATTTTTTAAGAACTTTTGATATGTGGTGAGTGATGTTTTGAGTGTAAGAAAGGGAATAGCAGCAAGTGTGGGGTTGCTTTTGGACTCATTGTCTTTGGAAGGTTGTGGTTAAACGTTTAATATATCTAATGTGGAAGTTCGGCTTGAGATAGTTTTACTGCTGTGCATTAAGGTATCGGTCTGTGTGGGTACGTTTTCTGTATACAAAATGACCCAATGTTAGGTCTTATTTTCTATTGATAAGTATATCTAAGAATGGGAGATTAATATTAGTTTCTTATTCAATGGTAAAATGGATGTTAGGGTGTGTAGTCTAGTAGGGATTCATTCATCATTCATCACTTGTCCAGAAATATCTAAATCTCTCAACATCTTCCGTCAAAGACAAAATTCCGTTTGAGGTGCCAGTAGTTTAGAGCATTCCATTCAATTTATTGGAGGTGCACAATCACGAAAACGAACATAAAATTTTATTGGATAAATCTAAAATTCATGCATGTAATCGATTCTTCTATCAACGAAAAATCCGAAAATCTATAGAAATGTATAAGCAAACAATCTTAATCGCGACTTACCTGTCTCCGATATGGAAACCAAGTCATCCGCGACAATGTTCATACCCCTCCTGCAGCTCCTCCGATCTCGAACAATATATAGGCAGGTACAGAGTAGAATGCGAGTCAGTTTCAGTTAAGCACTGAATAAGCCAACAGGATGATTTACGTCAGCAAGTTCAATTCAACAACCAACGCAGGAAGAATCCAGATGTTTTGTAAATAGTATTAAAATACCCTGTGGAGGTTTTTTTTGGAAAATGTTTTTAATGTCTTTCAATTTGCTTTCGATCCTATAGTTACGAGGGGCAGGTCTTCAAAAAGTGTTATTGCTGAACTGTCTAGAAGTTTTTGATATATTAGCCTTGTCTGATGACTTCAGTAAAAAATTAAAACAAAATTTTATACACGTTATTTTATTTGAGAGTTATATTTAGTTATTGTTTTTGTTGTGTCTATTTTTGTAAAATATTAAATGTTAATTGTCTATTTAATGCAGAAGTTATTATATGGTACGTTACAATTAACATCTTTTTGCTTTTTTGGATGTGTTTATGGAGAGCTGATAATACTTAGTATAATGCATTTAAAAAATGGAATTCTATTTCTGTAAATCACCACCCTAAAATTTTGTGTAGTTTCAAAAGATGATAAGAAATATTTCATAATGTCGAACAAAATGTTTTTTTACTTTGCTCTCAATTTAAACGGTCAGGTATTTTGACGTGTGTTGATTTCCAAAAATATACGGAAAAACTAATTGTCGTAGATTAACTATATCGTACACTCGTTATTATTAATAATTTGATTGAGTGATGTAGAAAATTACTAGGACCATTTTTATTTATTTATTTTATAATAAAATTTTATAATAAAAACAATAATACGTTTATTTCATAAACTATGTAACACCGAAAAATATAATATTTGCTTAACAGAACTATGGCACTGCCGAAACTAAATAGTCAAGCTACATTAGATATATTAATTTGAATCAAAATAAGGGAAATGAAGGGACTAGGATTGTTGTTAAATACAATTATTTGAAATATTTGATGAGAGATGCGAACAAAGCTAAAATGTTCGAGACTGTATAAGAAAAGAGCAGCTTGAATCTATACTTGAATGCATTATAGTTGAAAAATATTATAAGAGTAAAATCTTTTGAAAAGTTAAGTTTCCTTGGTTAACTAGATAAGGAATACAGACAAGGAGCCATATGTAACGTAATCCTAAAATTTGAAAATCATTTGAAATATGGTGTGGATCTCGTACATGTCTCTCATCTATTGAATCAAGACAGACACCAAAGACTGCAACACTGCAAAGTTTTCTGTGGTTTTGGCAACCATTGCGGCTTAGGGCACTGCTTGAAGCCATTACGTACTAGTATAGGTCATCAGTTATTAGGATATAGTCCCGCAGTAACACGGGAACTTTTGAAGCGACGATAAACAAAAATGTTGAGATAGGCCATTCAATATGCGCCTGCTAGGTCATATGAAATCTCGTCATATGAAAATAACTGCTGTCGTTTCCAACCGCTCAATAAGACCTAGCGGCAATTAACACCCAACAGGGTAGCCCAAATTTCGTTAAATTTTCCGGAAAAACGAGACCAAACTGGAGGGTAGTACGAGTGTTAGTGGCGCGGATAAAAAGTGTTGTGTTCGTATCCCCTTCATTGCACATATAACAGGATTAACATCCAAAATATAGATTTGCAGTAGCAGAAGCAGAATGGATAACCCGGTAACAGTCTAAATAAATGTCTGTAATGTTATTGATCTAAGCGGGTAAACAAACAAAATAACGAAAGGAGGTTGACGAATTTCTTTCTACAATAGAACAGTGCTTCGATTGACCTCAAACTTTATCAGGATTAGGTAAACCGATATACTTTCTAAATCTGGAAAATCCCGACCGCCCCATCAATATAAAACGAAACCATCATTAACGGCATTAAACGGAAAATGGCCTACGCCCGGCCTTACATGTACCCTACAAATGATTAGCTGTCACAAATAACAAATTACCACAAACTCACCTCCATTGACCTCGCACGACAGAAAGAGTTCGTGACCCTCTAAAAAGGGTCCGGCGGAGGCATTCAGCTTGACTTCTCTCCCTTCTGCGTCAAAAATGCGCGGCATGGACGGTTGCTCTGAAAGAGAGTCCACAAAAGAACAGAGTAAACAATCTTTTCCGCACATAATAAGAGAATCATTAAAAAGTGTAACGTCAAATGAAACTGGTCTGAAACTACAACTTGGTACTTTAGGCGTCTCGAAGGACATTTTATGTCAGGTAGGAATTTCCGTGAACAATATGGTCTACGCTTTTTATCAATCTAAATCAAAAAAAGAGACACAGAGACAGAGAGAGAGAGAGAGAGAGAGAGAGAGAAATGACAAAAGAAGAGAGAAAAATTAATCTTGTGCAACATTTAAAGAATGTGTTTCAAACACCCACTTGAATAATTGGTATTCAGAAAAGTCAATGTTATCGCATTATATTGAGTAAAGACAATTATTTTAAATATGTTTCCAATTTTGTTGTAAATGTGTAACATTTTAGTGCCTTACATTAGGGTTTAGGTACTTATATTTTCGCCTTATATTTTTATTTCTTTTAAAAACTTGTCAAAGATTCATAAATTAGTCTTAAAGAAAGTACAGTTGCAGTATTTAGTAGCGATAAGTATTGCACGCTTCTGTCGGATAATACAGTGGTATGGAATAAGACCTCAATATTTATGAGAAAATTACTTGTAACAACAAACTCAGCCGAGGATGATTTTGGGTAGCTAGAGGTGCTAGAGGCACGACTCATTTGGGAATCACATAAATATATTTTTCCACTCCCTTCTCTAAAATGCCCAATTATAAAGTGATCTAGCGCGCGGAAAGAGTGATTTTCCCACGTCATTCTCGTTTCTCGGATTCAGGAGCAATCGGATGTTTTCGGAGATATTTGCCACGGCTTGAATTTTGACGTTTGTCAATTCTGACGCTCATGTCAGTGAATATATTCAAATTGTTTTAAAAAAGTGTCACTCGTCTATTAACACTCAAATGCGGTTTATCATACTTGTTGCATAATACGAAGTGTGTTCAAAAAGTAAAATGAATTTGATATAATTTTCTTTATGATGTTGGTACACATGGTTACAGTACTGCAAAACACTTGGAATGTTGATAACGGCATATGATAAATCTACTTTGAGCAAAAAAAAAATGTTTATAAATGGTAGAAGCTGTTCCAAGATGCCCGAGAAAATGCATGCAACATCGCTCTGGACGCCCCAGCACGTCAATAACTGACGAAAGCGTTAAAGAAGCGAAACAAATGATGTTGAAAAATTTGTCGAATCACTATTAGAGAAGTGCCTGAAGGCTTCGGCATCTCTATGGGCTCGTGTTATGCAATTTTTTCCGAAGTTTTGGGCATTAAACTTGTAGCAGCAAAATTTGTTTCGATACTGCTTAATTTTGAATAATAGGACCATCGAACTGTCAAACGACGTCAATGATAATCCTGACATTCTTAAAAATGTCATAACTGGTGACGAATCATGGATATATGGTTATGACGCTGAAACCAAAGACCGGTCGTCCCAATAGAAGAACCCAGAATCGCCAAGACCGAAAAACGTTAAGTTCGATCAAATGTCAAGGTTATGCTTACTGTTTTTTTTATTATTGTGGCATAGCACATCAAGATTTCTTACCACAAGGTCGCATGGTCAATAAAGAGTATCTTGAAGTTATGCTCCGTTTGCGAGAAGCAATACGAAGAAAACGTCCGGAATTGTGCCCCAAAATAAAACCACAATTATGTCTCAGCCACCATATTCACCGGATATGGCCCCTTGCGACTTTTTCCTGTTCCCAGAACTCAAGCATCCCAAAAAAGGAGAAGGTTTGAAACGATTGAGAAGATAAAGAAGAAATGGCTTGAAAACTCGAGACTATACCAGAAAGTGCTTACCAGAAGTGCTTCGAGGATTGGAAAAAACGTTAACACACACATATCTGGTGGGATTATTTTAAAAGTGATAATTCAATAAATACTTTTTGATAAAACTTAAAAGTCGCCTTACTTTTTGAACACATACCATGAATATCTACATTTTTAAATATAGTCCAGCGTCGAGGTTGGTTATATCATTTACGGTAGAATTCATCTAGTTCACACCGGGTACGTATAATACTAACAACATTTCATATCAAAACAATTCTTTAAATAAAAAAATTGAAGGCGCGTGTAGTAACACACAAATTGACAAAGGCATTGCCAATTGATAAAATAACGTCTAAATGTTCTATTTGATCATTTGCTTCCTTTGGTTTGGATAAGACGCCAAAAACATATTATCGAAGCGTCAAAATTTTATATATACATAATGAGGACTTGGTTATATCTCAACAATACAATCAGGGCCAACAGAATGATAGTGTTAAGTACTTTGGCCGTATTTTAAAGTAGACCCGAATATTTTAGTTAAGAAAAGTAAGGCTCAAATTACGTGTCCTTTTTGTTGTTAATGACACTACTGCCGCAAAGATTTCCATAGCGATTTACCATTGCCATCGAGTTAAAATATGAATTTTTAACAAACCGGTGGCTTTACAACCACAACAAGTGGCCATATTTATAGGATGTACGATAACCTTAAATCACTCTAACCTACTAATGTCAAGTTGATTTTATAGTTTCTCGTGGGCGAGTTGACAAAATCCACGCGACATCTAAAAACTCCCTCGTCCTGATTCCCGACGTTTTGTATCCTTAATCTGGACTTCGACGGCTCGTCATCGGCAATAAAGTAAGACCGTTGTCCGAGATCATCGCTCATTGCCAGATGGGAGGCCCTGGACAGCGGACCGCCCCTCGCGTCCAGACTGGAAAGCAAAAACTCGATTAATGAGTAGTCTGGCTGGTCGGCACTTCTTGATGCGAAAACATGTCGCAGAAGAAGCGCGTTAACTACCATCTACGTCTAACTTGGAAATTTATTCACATACGTTTGTCCGACATGGCTAAATGCAATAATTCCACTGAATGATTTCACTGGTCTACAACATTCAAAATTTTGACAAATGTTTTTGACTTTACATTTTTTTGGTAGGCTGATTTCAAAAAATATATGCATTTATTTGTGTCATTTTAGGTTTTTTTTGCAAACATTAAAAAAAAAAAAACATTATTTCTAAAATAATTAATTTTTTTATTCAGTAAAAACGTGTAATCCTAGTAAAAAAGTGAGAAAAAAAAGTTTATTCAGGTTTTTTTTAGTGAAATCTTCGTCTTTTTGCCAGAAAGCTGCCCGGATATTCGGCTTTGCGGTTTTAAGGGCATATCCTGTTTTAACAACCAGGAGTAATCCGTGACATCATCCCATCTGCCTTGGTATCGCAGTTTCATTTCCTTAATATCCTTTTGAAACCTCTCTCCCTGTTCTTCGCTAACTGCTCGAAGATTTTCAGAAAAATAGTTCAAGCGTGAAAACAGCACTTTAAACCTAGACGATGAACGTATTGTAACATATTTTGAACAATACTTTCGTAGGTATCGTCTTTAGACTTCCCCAGAAACTTATCAATTACTTCTTCATTTTTGGTCATTGTACTTTGAAAATCCTTAGATTCTTAGATTCCTCTGATTTTGACGATATGGCGTTTTCTAGTTCTTTTGGGGGCAGTAGGTATCGGTTCATATGGTGTTTATTATTTTTTCTGTCCAATCCTTGAATATTACGCGAATAAAAATAACAATCATTACGGTGATTCCTAGGCTCTCGCAATACTGTACGAATAACAAACCTTAAACATTTCTTCCTACCTTTTTACCAGTTACTTAATGCTTCAATGCAAACGGAACAGACAATAAGAGGAGATCAGGACTTCTCTCGCTAGCCAAATTTTGCACGAAAATAAGCTACGAGATAACTACCACAAATATAACAAAAGTTATTTGGATATGTTCTCCAACACTAGAAATACGCAACAACGAAGACAACAGCCGTGAACACAGTAGCACTACCCATACAACGAAACTGCGCATAGGCAGGTTACAACGCTGTATTGACACACTAATATTATCCTGTGTTGCCAAATCACATTTAATTTCATAAAAATCAATCCATTTAAAATCATGCCTAACATGGAACAAATGTATTCCTCTCATATATATGTTTATTAATAAAATAACACTTTCAAGACATAGACCGCTATAAAAAAATGACGCGATGGAGCAAAAATATGGCGTATTTTGGGAAAAGGACCCCCCAAAAATATACAAATAAGCAAACAGTTTTCAAAAATCAAAATCAATGTAGATCTGTCTTTTTATTATTTGCAAAAAACTAGTTTCCTTCCAAAACAAGAAATAAAGCCTGATTGAAGTTCTGTTTTGTTTCTGAAATATCTATTCGATTTTGAGATAAAATAGAGTGTTGTTTTGAAAAAAAAGTCCCAAGTGTGAGGTTTGTGTACAAATCGCATTTTTCCTATAACTAAAAAAAATAAAAATAAAAATGTAGTTTTGATGATTCATAAATTTTAAATTTAATGTTTTTCATATACCTTGTGTAAAGTTGTCACATGCTTATGTCAAATTTAAATATTGAAATACAATGAATCGATTTAGTTTTAAGGTAGGATAATTCAATTTCAAAAATTGTATTAAAAATATCATTTTTGAGATTTGAACTTATGCGTTTGTTCATAAACTCCTCTTTTTTTAAATAGTGATTTGTTGTATTTTTGGAACTTGTATTTTTAGAATTAATTTATCATCAAAAAATATTAGTTTGCTTTAATTGGATTTTATAGACTAGTAAAAAAGTAAATGAGCATTACGTTTGGACTAACACTTTTCGAGTCATTTTTTTTGCACATAATTTGTTTAAGCTGCATTATAATGTAATTTGTTTATTAAAACATTATTATTATTATTATTATTATTATTATTATTATTATTATTATTATTTCCAGACTCTTTCCCCTGTTATTATGTCTGCTGTCCACTCGTAAATTCTATAAATTTACCGAAACGGACAATTTACACCAAATCATGTCGTTCCAGGGCAGACAAAAAATACCGACAAAATTATAAGGCCATAAATTCAATTGTAATGCGTAGTGCAAGTAGCGCCGCCAATTCGATGCGTCAAAATCCAAATGTAATGGAATATTTAATGGCACAATAAAACATTTCCATTTATTGGTCTGCGTCGAGCTATCGTAGCTTTGTTGACAATAATACGCAAAACGTGGGATATTTGACGAGAACTGAAAAATACTAATATTAGACGTAAATCATGGTAAAAGCCAGTTTGATAACACGTACGCCGTAAATGCATATTTTCGAAGTGATTATACCTAAACACCGGCTTTATTAAAAAATTCGGAGTGAAAAATTCGTCAAATCAAATTTAATATGGATCTAAATTAAAAAATGTTACAATTCAAAAAAATTTCACACCCATTTTTGAACGCGCTTCTTGACTACGTTATTTACGAAAATAAACTTAATAAGGCAGTGTCAATTTCGTCCTTGGGGACACGAGGGACGCCATAATGGCGATGAAGGCGGTGTAGGACAATGACATTAAACCCAGAGGATAACCGATAAGCTTTTATTGTTTACGCACCCAAAAAATACATCACAGTCTAAACTTACGTAAATACCATTACAAATTTTCATAAATAGTTATCACATCAGATACTAATTTATTTAAAAAGAAGCATAAAGCATAAGCCAATGGTTTGTTGCAGATGCTGAGAATTGCTGCATTTTATCAATTTGGCGCCTTTATGGGGTCGTGTGGGGCAATAAAATTTTAAATATCTCATTTTTCTAATGAAATGATACACTATACACCAGAAATATCTGAATAAGTGAATAATTTTAACTGCGTAGGTTTCATCCTTAGTTTCCAAGAAAGTTATCAATTTTTTTAAATAAAATCGAGGCGTTTTTGGTCATTGTGTTCTGAAAATCCTTGTCTTTGCATAATGAGTCATTTGGGAAGGAATTAGATTCTTTTTATTCTGACGGTTCATCTGGTCCATGTCGAACTGGTCGAATAGCAGAGCCAAGATTGGGAACACAATTTGTTTTGATGTTATAATGGATGTTTTTTTTCGATGTATGGAACTTTAAGTTGGCATTACTGTTCAAGATGGTGACCGATTTAACAGCTGTCAAGTGATTTATTCTGAGTTTGGTGTGGCAATTCGTCATGAATAGACTCACGCCTGAACAACGCTTGCAAATAGTGCAATTTTATTTCGAAAATAATGGTTCTGTGCGGAATACGTATCGCGCACTACGCCATCGACAAAATCGTCCATCAGAGCAGTTAATTCGATTAACCATGGAACGTTTTCGCACCACGTTTACTCTTATTGATAGCTCGCAGCCCCAGAGACACCGTACGGTGCGTACAGAAGAAGCTATTGCTTCTGTAGAGCGTAGCATTGAGGAAAACCTGAATGAGTCCATCCGCCATCGAGCACAGAAATTGGATCTGTGTCCATCCACTTTATGGAAGATTTTGCGGAAGGATCTTGGTTTACGTGCTTACAAAATCCAACTCGTGCAAGAATTGAAGCCAAAAGATCATCAAGTAAGGATTAGATTCGTCGAATGGGCCCAAAACGAGATTGCCGTTGTTCCCGATTTCTGGTTGAATGGTTACGGCAACAAACAAAACTGCCGCATTTGGAGCGAAGCTAATCCTCAAGTGTATGTCGAAACACCGTTACATCCAGAAAAACTGACTGTTTGATGCGCTTTATGGGCTGGTGGAATCATTGGTCCGTACTTCTTCAAAAACGATGATGGCCAAAACGTCAATGGTGATCGGTATAGAGGTATGATTACTAACTCTTTCATTCCTGAATAACCATGATGCCCAGGAGGCGTGGTTTCAACAACATGTCACACAGCTCGTGCCACAATCGATTTATTGAAAGACACGTTTGGTGACCGCATAATTTCACGTTTTGAACCTGTGAATTGGCCTCCAAGATCTTGTGATTTAACACCGCTAGACTACTTTCTGTGGGGCTATGTAAAGTCATTGGTCTATGCGGATAAGCCATAAACGCTTGACCATTTGGAAGACAACAATCGCCGTGTTATTGCCGATATACGGCCACAAATGTTGGAAAAAGTCATTGAAAATTGGACGTCCAGATTGGACTACATCCGCGCCAGCAGTGGCGGTCATATGCCAGAAATCCATTTATAAATATTTAAAAAATATATTCAAAAATATTAAAAATCTAATGCCACAAGATTATCTTTCGGATAAATAAAATTCATGTCAATGGAATAATCCATCGTTGTTTTATTGCAACTTAAAGTTCTATACATCGAAAAAAACCACGCCTTAGTCTGCCTTTTCTTTACTACGACATAACTACCACAGATATACCAAAAGTTATTTGGATTGTTTACACAATGTCTTCTGTCCATATTTATACGATCCAGAACACTAGAACTACACAACAACCAAGACAACAGCCGCGAACACGGTAGCACGACTACCAATACAACCAAACTGCGTATAAGCAGGTTGTAATGATGTATTGACGCTTCTGCGCCAACTCTGGTGCTCTGCAGATAAATCTAATTATAAATCACGCCTAATATGGAACAAACGTATGCATGTCGTAGGTATGTAGATTAATAAAATAACATCAAGGCAAATGCTGAGCCTAAACAGTAAGTAAGAAATCACATTTCCTCCATGCTTGTCCTTCGTCAATAGCATAAAAATCGATTTTCTGAAATTTTAAATAATTGTTGTAGAATTTAATTTCACAAGAACAACCTTGTGGAGTAGACCGTGGAAGAATGTTTCAAAAATAATATTTTGGAGCAAAATTCA